TTTTTTTTTAGAATGAAACAGGCTATCGGAAATAAATTTTTAAATGGTAAAAAAATAATAAGACAAAAAATTACGTTGGAAATAAATTTTAGGGGTTGCGTTTTCCACCCCTTACAACCATGGGGTAAACCAAATAAATTACTGGCTAAGTGTCTTTTTGGTAGTAGAAAATGTCAGGTTAATTTCAATATTGTAACTTGTTTAGTGCTTGTGAAAAAAATTGTTAAACAAATTTTATGTACCCCCTTTAAGGGGCTGTATCTTAACAAGGGAGGCTCCAATGAAGTTTCTTTATATGAAAGATCCTATCTTTTATTCGATGAGGAATCACCCCCTTAAATGTTTTACACTTATTTAGTTACACCCTGTATTATTTTCGACCGATTTTTACTAATATTCAAGTTACGTCAAGCAACAGCCATGTCAATGAGTAATTCTCCTGGACTATAATAAAAACGCTATTAATCCGCTTACCAAGTTGATTGTGACGATCAGATCGTGCTGATGATGCTTCCCCTTCTTGGTCTTCTTGGTCGTCTTCGTCACAGCAGCCGCTGCTACTTTCGCTGGCGCCTGTTTGATAGGCTGGCCCTTTTGGGCCGTCACTGGTTTCTGTCCAGGTTTCCCTGGCGTTTTAGATCCTGCATTCTTAGGCCCGTGAGTGGGGGTCCTCTGTCCCGTCGGTTTCTGTCCTACGTGGCTGCCATCTGCCGGTTTGTTTCTGGCCTGAAAAAAAAAGACGAAAAGTTACAATTTTGGTTTGTTGGTGGACAATAGATAGTTATCATGCGTAAGGTGCTAAGCAGGCATAGTTCAGAGGTTACTAAAGCAAGTGTGAAGTTGTAAGTGACTGTTTAGAATATTTAAAACAGGCAAATATTATTATTAAAAAAATTAAAAGTATTTTTTGAAGTATATTTTTAACGAAGCGTTCTAGATAAAAAATTTATAGGAAAGACTCCCCTTAAAATTTACCAAAGAATACGAGGTTTCGTTTTTGGTCACCATTTGTGAATCATCCTGTATATTAGTTACCAGAGCGTTAGAAACTGTTCGTTTTATGGTGACAAGTCTGTCATGCTAATTGTTTTAAATGGCCTCGGAAGAACAAATCNCCGGTTTGTTTCTGGCCTGAAAAAAAAAGACGAAAAGTTACAATTTTGGTTTGTTGGTGGACAATAGATAGTTATCATGCGTAAGGTGCTAAGCAGGCATAGTTCAGAGGTTACTAAAGCAAGTGTGAAGTTGTAAGTGACTGTTTAGAATATTTAAAACGGACAAATGTTATTATTAAAAAAAATTAAAAATATTTTTTGAAGTATATTTTTAACGAAGCGTTCTAGATAAAAAAATTATAGGAAAGACTCCCCTTAAAATTTACCAAAGAATACACGGTTTCATTTTTAGTCACCATTTGT